CGAGTAGGGGCAAGGTCTTTGTACACACACCCTCCCCAGACCCTACTCTTGTGGGATTTAACTGGGTTGTTGTTGTTGTTATCATGCTACATTTTCTGAACATTCTAATGGAGCTTATAGTATACAAAATTGGTGTGTAAATGTGTAGTTGCCATTTCAAATTCTTGTACGAAGACAAATAGCACATCTTCAGGCCCCAAGTCTTCAATGTGCATGGTTTATTTATGACGAGCTGATCAAAGTAAGTTAATGCTGAATTATGGTGCAATTTATGCGTTAGTATTTTTAAACCGAGTCTGTTTTCCAGATGAGCCATCAGTGTCTGGTGTCTGAACTACAACTGTTTCCCGTTTTGAGGAAGCGTATGGATGAGATATTAAGGAGCTTCTTAAGGGAAGAGTTCCAGCCATTGAAGTCTAGGATAGAAGATATGATAGAAATGGAGGTATGGCCTAATCCTAATTTTAAATTACTCTGTTATAACTCGAAAACCAATTAATTTTGTCATTTTCACTGCTGACTTTTTAAATATTCTGCCTGAGTGTATTCATATGGCAGATTATATAAACTCGTATTGCTTCTTACATGCTATGATGTTTTGGGTAGTAAATGCGGCAATGCATCAAGGGTATAATAAAAATACTGTGTTGACCCCAGGCCCCAACAATGTTGGGTTTATACTTGGTTTGTTGTGGTGGTGTTGGTTGAGTGTGTCTCAATTAACATATACCGATACCTGTCTCTTTTATTCATATCCATCTTAATTCTGAAATATGGATTTTCCACTTAAATACTACGTACTACACAATGTTTTTAACTCTGGCAATTGTTAGATTTCCACAATTAGATTATTTGTCTTGTAGAGGGATTACATTAGTACTTCCATCCAAAATGAGACTTTTGGTTTCTGCAATTTGGTGATTTTTCCTTGTAGATGGATTGCATAAATACTTCTCACCCGCAATTTATCGGTGGGAGTAGAGCTATGGAGATGGCATATCAACAGGTCAATTCCTCCAGAATGGCTACATCCGCCCCCGTTCATTGGCAAAAAGTAAATTTGCTCTCTTTTACAATGGAGACAACACAATTTTTTTTGTGGGAATAGAATCTGGTTTCTTTGCCACCTAAAGAAAGTTACAATTGGATTTTCTTTCTACATTTTATACTGTTCAGGATCAGCAAATAATTGTTGTGCTTTTTTTCATGTGACAATTAGGGTGTTCAATCAACAGAGGAGATTGAAAACCCCACATCATCTGGTAAAAGATCTTTTGTAAAGACATGCTCATATCATAATGCATTCCTCGTCTTTTTTTTCCTCTCACCTCTTAGATTTATTTATTTGGACAAGTGTATTGAGTGTTACAACTTTGTTGCTGTTTTTTGTTAAATAAATGTCTTGACCAATATCAGGAGCTAGAACCCGTTCAAGTTGGGGAATAGCATCAATTTTTGCTGGATCTAATCCTCGGGTGTCTGTCAAACAAAACCGAATCAGTAATTCTTTCACATTGCCTGCTCAGAGCATGGAAGAACCCTTTTCTGTAATCCACTTAAACAAGGTAACAACATACGATCCTGTGGCAGATGACTTTATTGTTTTTTTATTCTTAATTTTTTGACTATCGTATAAGATAAGTCTTTTTATTGTTCTTGAAGCCACCAAATGTCTTGATACCATCAGAAACCCTTTCAGACCATGAAGCCATTAAAGTCGCAGCAATGAAATTGCTACTGAGGTCCTATTATGACATCGTTAGGGGGATTATTGAGGATTTTGTGCCTAAAGCAATCATGCATTTCCTGGTATTAATAGCAAATTCATTCCTCTACAAACACACACGGCTTTCATGTTAATATGTTATGGATTTGGATTTCTATTTCTAAAAATGTCCTGTGAGTACAGCTTGTCATTTAATTTGGTGTTCAATTCTTACTAATAAGCATTTGCTTGAAGTGGTTCATAAGTTGCCAAGGAAAACAATGACTGAATAGGTGTTCAATTCTCGTCTCAGGTAAATCACACGAAACGTGAGCTACACAATCTCTTTCTCAGCAACCTTTACAGGTAAAATGTCAATAACGTCTCCATAAAATGAAAAATACAAATCCACCCTGCTTGTGTTAGAGTGAATCTCTTTACTGCCTCAAAAAGTATCCACGGTTTGGCTTACTGAACTGTCATTGACAATATTTTGTTATGCGTCACTGCCTTTTGACAATATACCTTCCAAATTCCTCTCTTTGTGTATGCCAAAACTATGTTACCGTGTGCTCATTCCAACTTTTGATTTCTCATGGCTTGAACAGAGAAGACCTCATTGAAGAGTTGATGCAAGAATCTGATGAGATAGCTATGAAGAGGAAGCACACACGAGATAGATATTGTGCCCTTGAGCAAGCTTTTCAGGTTAGTTATTCTCACTGAAGACAAAGATTATGTTTGGCATTCCCACCTCAACTCACATTATAGACTGAAACTCCCCAAATCAACTTCTTTGGGATAGCAATAGTCTCACGTGGACATATATAGACATGAAGTTATGTGATTTGATTGATTGAATTGAAATAAAAAAAGCTAACAAAATTCAATTTCATTGCTGCTCATTGTGCCAAAATTGTCCTCAAGTAACTTATTCAAAATGATCTACTACCCCATTGTACTTATATTCGTAAGCGTGATTTTATGTCCATTTCATTTTTGTGCATCTACTTGTGCCAAATCTAGTTCTACACAATAGCGTCCAACGGGATTTGAACTTTCAGTTTCAGCTAGTTGTGCCAAAGCATAGCCTTAAAACTTTATTCCCATATTCGAAATCTAATGTAAGACTTGATATTGATTCACATGCAGACATTGGATGCATTGTCATTTGAAACCGAGTTAGTTGAGAATGGCTATAGCAGTAGCAACCATCTGCCTGCAGTGCTATCTTCTTCTTCTTCTCATAGCGACAGTAGTTCTGTTCATTCAGCACACTCACCTTCCTTTCACAACCCGTGGTCTTGCTGATCAACCCGTTCTCTCAAGTTGCACGCGTAGATTCTAATGCTAGTCGACCAATTTTCGTCCCAAACATCATCAAGTGATTTTGTAAAGAAACTTAAAATATTGCCCCCCATTCTTTTGTTTCTTGTAGGATTGCCACAATTCACAGGAATATGAGTTTCACTTTTCTTTCTGGCAATGTGTTGTAAAAACCGAAACACAAAAACACAATTTTGGAAGTGTAAAGTGACAACTTTTCCTTTGCCATTTTTCTTCACTTTTGTTTTGACAGTGTAAGTGGCAACTAATTTTGAAAAAAAAACACACTTTTTTAAAGACAATGGAATTATAGCACACACCCATTAAGTATGAAAACAATGCTAGCAAAACTAAGTTGAGTGACTAGGTCACAAATGGCTTAACATAACAATGTTAGGAGAAGTGGAGTCTTCTTATACATTAACTTCTGGGCCTCTGGCACAAATCTCACTGAACACTACAAGGTTTCTATGTACACTGAATTACCTCAATACCACAATGTTCAATTTACTGTCATTCCATCAGTTCCAACTCCTTAAAACTATATATGTATACAAGTTGTGAACTGGTGAGTGTTTGTCACCCTACGGCAGTCGGCGGTGGGGCCCGATTAGAAATAACGGCATCATCAAAACGGCTCGCTTCTCCATTGTTGCTTTAGAACAAGGAATATAGTTGCATTAAAGTTAGGATTCCTGTAGTAAATTTTACTCAAGTAAACAAACTTTTTGACCGCGGAGCAGATATAAAACTATGTTGATGGCTAAGGCCTGCTGACCTGTTCACCAGGCTAGCTGACATTGTGGTCATGAACATGAGTGGATGGAGCTTTAGACACATCTCCCAAAAGCCCCTGTAGAAATGCAGCAAGCCACCTGATAGGTTTAGTGAAGAAAACCATACATAAAAGAAAGCAATATATAAAAGGAGATAGGCTCTGGATAACAACAACGACAACAACAAACCCAGTTGAATCCCGCAAAAAGTAGGGTCTGGGGAGGTTGAGTTGAAGAGAAAATATTTATTCTGGTAAATTTTTTATGTTAAAATTTCAGAAGTATGTTTCTCTCATAAAGGCAAATAATGGATAATGTGAGACTATGAAGCTATATAATGCATAACTTAACCGGAAAATGCAAAAAACTAATGGAATTCAAAACTTCATAGAGCAAAGTTGTCACACTGAATGAGATTCTCAAAACGAAGGCGAACCTTGGCGGCCCACTTGAGCCCACATGCATTGCAAAGTGACCTCGGGCCAGCTGGTCCACGTCGCATCATAGGTGTAGACTTGGAGCCAATTCCGCAATGACTACAGCTGTTGAATAGGAAACGAAAAGAGAATTTTTTTTAATCAAATTACAGGCCGATAGTGCAAAAACCTGAGCTTGAAATTTAGGTTGGTTGAACTCCAACAATGAAGAACCTTGAAAACGTTCCAGCACCTAAAAAGGGCTACAACTCACAATGTTTCCTGATCTTCTTGTCCGGAATTTGAGTTGCAATCTGCAGAAGATGAACCGTCAGACATTGACTGGGGAGATGCAAACTGACCCCTCTTACGCTGCATCCTGTCACACAGCACAATATACACAGATTATGAAGAGAGCTGGTATCATTCACAGTATAAGTGGCTGTTTGGTAGCAACCTTTTTTGTTTTCTTATCAGCCTTCAGAGCTACAGATTATTATTTTTTGAATCAGACACTAATTGTATTAACTACGCACGGATTATTTGGTTGGTAAATGTGAAGTAGGCTTGGTCGCTTGGAGCTCCGAAGTAGGATGTACCAAAAACTTACTCCAACTGTCCCATAAAGATAGCCCGCTATCTTTCCACAAGTATCGAGTCAGATGGAAAGATTAAATGTTTTCATGCAGTTTCTGTTTTAACTCCGCTAAGGCTTTCAATTTCCAATATGGGAGCAATATTTTATCTTGATGTTGATCAACAAGTAAAAAAAACTAAATGCCGACTACATCAAACCCAGTATAGCCCCAACTCCATTGGGTAAGAGGGTCAAGATATATGCAACCTTACTCCTATAGAAACAGGGAGATTGTTTCCTTCAAGACCCACCACCCATGATGCATTGCTGAATCTACTTTACAAAACTTCATAGAAAGCAAGAAGAAATGGAAGTTCAATGTGCCATTTTGATCTAGTCCATTATTAAACATCATAAAAAATGACTCTTTTAGCTCCATGGGCAATGGACTTGAAAATTAAATGCCAACTAACAATGAAAATATTGGACTATCTTTGTGGGTGGAGGGAGAAAAAGAACACCAATGGAAGAAGATATACTAGACAGACAGAAACTAAGAAAACTCCATATGCTGAATATCATATGATCGATTTGACGATTTTACCCCACTTATCAAGATAATCAAGACAAGCAACAAGGCAATAAGAAAGAATGCAATAGGCCTAACTAACCTCAGTGCAACTTCCTTCCTCACAGTATATCGAATCTTCTTATCGAAGCATCGATCTTTCCTCTTCTCCCTGAACCGGTTCAAAGAAACAGCCCTTTGATGCTGATTCAATTTTCCAGGAAATTCACTTGTTGCCTGCACGAAATGGTATTGGAAATGATGAAACAACTGCAACCTACGAGAACGGTAAACTTCTCCGATTTCTTTCTTGATTAAAATCTTGCAGAAGAATACCCTTTGATTTTGGGAAGGTACCCCATCAGTGGGAAAGCTTAAGGGCACTTCATATCCACCCAACAGCAGCAACACTGCCTGAACCTGAAATTTTTTTTATCCGCCAAGTTTAACCAATTTCACACAATTTGATTCATGGATTCCATAATGAAATTCACATTCTAAAGAATACCAATGTAACAGCTTTCCTAATTTCCCCAATTCACTGAGTGCAGATTGTTCAGTTCATAATAATTGCTCTGCAAAACAAAACATCAAATGAAGAAAAAGTTAATACCTTTTCAGGTGAAACGGCGTCGAATACATAGACTTCGCCCTGAAAAGATAGGGTAAGCTGATCAGCCCCAGATCCGGCCGCCATGCCGGAAACGCTCTCCAATCCTGCCGGAGCATAGAAACCGCGAGAGGAAATGCCGTCCACCGATGCGTCAGTCTCCATGGCGCCGTCGTGGAGAGCCTGGGAATGAGAGTGCGGTTCGTATTGGAGGTGAGGAGAAACATCATCCATGGAATCCTCGCCGCCGCCGTCTTCCTCATCGTTTGCGAACGGAGGGTGCGGATTCTCTGGGTCGGGATATAGTACGGCGGTGTTGGGGGGTGCCTCATTACCGTACATCGTTTGCTCCATGATTCGTCTTCGTCCTTGACACGCGCTCGCACACCATTGATGGGTTTCACTGCGAGGCGAATTTTAGGAGTAAAATGAATTTAGCGTGGATCCAAACAGCCCCTCTTCTTGGTGGCAAATAGACTAGCCATTTGTGTAGGTTTTGGAGGTTTTGAAATTTGAATAATTGGATGGGTTAGAGCATCTCCAATGTATAGTGTAAAAATTAGTAATGTAAATTACATTTTATACTATCAATATTATTTTATACTTCCACTTTTTAATACTTATTCCAACTATGTTTTGTATAATATACTCCATACTTTACATTTATTCATGTCCCTATCTACAACTAACTTGTATATATAAACTTTGTCAATTGTATTTTACCCTATATTGTATTTTAGGATTTGTTTTACCCTCTTCCTTGGAGTGTCAAAAAGTTAAACACAAAGTGTAAATTGTGTAAATTTTAGCATATAGCCGGAGATGCTCTTGAGCCGGTTCTTTGCAAGTTATTTGCAACAATATATGGTTTCGTTGCTTTGGTAGATAACATAGTTATTCACCATGATTTTAAAATTTACTCCGGAGTATATTTTTTTGCTCTTAGAGTATTGGAAATAGTCTTGACGCTCTGAAGCTTCTAAATTTATCTCCTGTCACATTAATTATAACTTATCTTACAGTTTCACAGAAAATAAATTTGAAGGCCCGAAACTTCAAACTGGATCTTCAAACTTTTTTAAATTTTTTAATGGCATTTTGTAAAATTAAATTAATAGAATTTGAATAAATAAATAATTTTAAACGACAAAAAATCATCAAACAAATAAATTACATTCAATAAAAAATATTAAATTAAAAAAATTACAACAATAAAATAATTAAAGCAAATTATATTTAATCTTAATCTCGTTTTGTCTTCTCTCATAATACATACATTTGAATGTAAAATATATAGCTAATTTGGGCGCTCTAGCCAAAACGAAAAACGTGTGTAATCACATGTAATTTTATACATATATATACATTAATCATGTGTTAATCATCTGTGATTATCCTTCCTAGAGACACATGTGTATTCACAGCATTTTGGCTTGATACATAAGTGTGGTGAAGTATGTGGGGGATGAAGTGGTGTGGATCCTAATATGGGGCTAATGTATGATTATATTTAATCAATAGTATCTTTTATACGGAGTACTATGTTTGGTACAAAAAAATTAAAAAAAATTAAAAAATTATGGATAATAATTTTTTTGTTCAAATAGAGAGGAATCATTTTTTCATTTTATTTTGGTGACAAAAAAGAAAAGAAAAAAATATGGAAAGTACAAGGAAAAGAAATCTTTCTATTCATTCCATTTTTGTGACGAAAAAAGAGAGGAATCATCTTTCTTTTCCTTTCTGAATTCTGCAACCAAACATAACGTTAAGTTTGTATTTTGGAAACGCTCCATAGACGTATTAATTCCGAGATTTATACTATGATATACGAATATAGTCCGTATTAGAGTTCATAAATGTAAGCAAATTAGTAAAAGTGTGAATGTATTATCACGCCCCGCACAATATAGGCTCTATTATCACATAATGCTTCTTTCATCCCCAATTAAATTCACATTTTATTTTGTTTTCTGTCCCAAGATAAAATTCACACTTCCTCACTTTTCATTTAAAGAACGGATACTTGACTCTTAAGAGTTCTCTAACATTCAATCAAATTCTAACTACATTTTTCTTAAATTCCGTGAAATCGAAGAGTACATTTTTCGAATTATATCCGTTCTTTGTTTTTTCCGCAACGGATATTTTAATATTTTTTCAATACATACGAGTATCTTTTCCATGATAATTGGAAGAATAAAGCTCCATAAAGAAGAAAATCGTTGTGTATTACTCCCTTCCTATTTAACTGTCTGGTCACTTTTCGAAGTCAAAATTTGACCAACAATATCTCTTAAAATATATTAGCAAGAGAATATTAAAAACAATATATTTAAAGTATTTTTCAATATCAATAATCTAGTATAATTTTCATATTTTAATTTATTGTATATTTTTTATATAAATAGTTAGTCAAACGTTTGACACGTAAATCGAAATGAACAATTAGGTCGGAATGGATGGAGTATATTAGACCTGGCAATCGGGTCAATCGGTTCAGTTCCGATTCGGGTCTTTTCGGTTCGGGTCTCATTCGGATATATGTTATAATCAGTTCGGGTCGAGTCGGTTCGGGTCAATTCGGTTGCAAGTTTATTTTGGTTTGACTGGTTTTCGGTTTCGGTTCGAGTTTTATCGGATCGGGTTTATATCGGTTCGAATTTGTATCGGTTCGAGTTTATATCGATTCGGGTTTGTATCGATTTAGGTTTATATTAGTTTAGATATATTTTAAATATTTACTAATAAATCAATAATATCACATAATAAATTTAATCAATTTATGATATACTCTGTAGTTATTTTATTATTTAACATGAACGTACATAAAATTTAATCAATTTTAGGTCTAATCAGTTCCGGGTTTAATAATCGGGTCTGAATACATTCGGTTCGGGTTCGGTTCAGTTCAGATCATTTTGGGTGTTCGGGTCTATTTCGGTTCTTCGGTTTTTGGGTCAAATCGGGTTTGGTTCCGGGTTATTCAGTTCGGGTTATCGGGTCTAGAGTATATAATAGAAGCATAAGAGAGGGAGAGAAGGGGGAGAAGAAGAAGAAGAAGAAGAGAGAGAGTGGGAGAGAAGGATGAACGTAGAAGAAGAAGTTGAGAGGCTAAAAGAAGAGATCAAGCGGCTGGGAAAGATCCAAGATGATGACTCTTACAAGGTACATTTCTGCAAAACCCCACCCATAATTCCTGCATTTCTGCGGATCTATCTATCCATCAAAGCATTGTTCATCATCAGATCCATGCGATTCATTAAAAAAAAAATTAATTTCTGGGTGAAATTTATACAGAAAATAAGGAAATTGTGTTTCCCATACCTGCATTTTTCTTCGTGGCAAGATCCATGGATTCCCTGTGATGAATTAGCAGGATGACTGAGATCTTGTTTTTTTTAAAGATCTGAATCTGAAGAATGAATTGAGTTGCTGATTCTATTATTTGATTTTGTGGGCAAAGGTAACATTTGGGGTGCTGTTTAACGATGATCGATGTGCGAACATCTTCGAGGCGTTGGTTGGGACTTTGAGAGCTGCCAAGAAACGCCATGTCTTGAAATATGATGGCGAGCTGCTGCTCCAGGGCGTTCATGACAATGTCCAAATTACCCTCCCCCCCCCCCCCCCCCCCCCACCCCAGGGTTAAGTAAAAACTGATTGGTGATTACTATTTTACTTTTTACCCCAGCTGAGCTTGAGTTCTTCTTTCTGGATGGAATCCCAGTTGTAAGATTTTGTTTATTTATGATGTGAAATTTGAAACTTCTGTTTGGTGAAGAAGATGATGAATTAGTTTTCTATTGGCAATGTATCCTAAAGTATTCTTCAAGTTTGACTTTTTTTAGTCAAACAGGACAGAATTAAATAAAGAGAATATACTAATGAAAGAATGAGCTCATTCCATCTATCTTGCGAAATCATTCATTTCGTTGTATTAATATGCAATGCAATTTAAAACTGCAAAAAGTCACGTTTTCCAGGGAAGGAAGAAAGAATTGCAACTAAATTGTATTCAAGAATTGGTTAAAACGATTCAAAAAACTACTACAAGAAATAGCTATATTAACCAATTCGAAAACTACAACCATAAAAGCTACTAACCCAAGTGCCGAATGATCAAAGGTTCGTTCATAGTGATCCGTTCATTATGAAGGTCTGAAGGAGGTTCTGGGCTGTTTGAGTTTCATCGGGCGTTCCAGAGATGACGATTGTACGATTGCTACTCCCAGACGGTCTGCACACCAACACCTTTGCCCCTGAAATCTGTTGGCTCAAACACAGAAACACATAATTGTCATTATTATGGAGTGATTAATGAATAATGATTGTGTGTGTTACTGCAAAGAATGACAGATTTCAAGATTAAGGTTGTAGTTTCTTTCATGTTTTTTCATGATTTTAAAAGCAAACCTTATTTGGCAAAGCAAAAAATAAACCTTATTAGGAAAGTCCCCCAAGTGTAGGGTCAGAGCAGGGTGCCTTACCCCTAGCTAGGTCTCCAAACTATCATATCTAAAGGCTATTTCAACAGTGATTTGAACTATATCAGCCTAATTAGCCTTATAGAACTAGCCATTAAAAAGACAAGGGCAACTGCGTCATTAATAGATAGATAGTGCAAATGAAACCTGTCTCAGATGTTCCAAATTGATGCCATTCTCCCCATAAACAGACCCAAAGGCACTTTCAGAAACTACCATCTCCACGGTTGTATTTGTCACAATGGCAGATCTGTTCCGAAGTGGAAAAAAATCATAAGCAATATACACAGATAGTTGATAGGATTGTCATGGTGCCTTTTTTACAAACCTGCCAAGATCAAGCCCCCCGTTAGCCGAAGTTAATCCTCTGCCTGAATTGGTATGGCCTATCTTATTTACGGTGATATGTGGTGGCCTAAAACTTGGGGGGCGCAGACCATTCGTGTTATTTGAAATCGCAAGATTGCCCATGTTTTGTGTCAAGTCAGAAGGCAGGTTGATATGATCAGTGGCACCGGCAGAGTGACGATACTGCAATCTGCCATGGGGACTATTCTCAGTTGTTAACTTTACTTGCAATAGGTTATTGCGCAACTTAGCAGTGACACTACATAAAGCATCTTGGACATTTGAGAATTCACCTGTAATCTAACAAAATAAACCCATAAGTTTCAAATGCCAACGTAGAAGGGAGTAGAAAGTAAAAAGGGAGAAAAGTTTAATGTGCCATCTGCTAAACTTCTACCCTTCAAACATTTGAAAAGGGAAAAATGACATTTGAAAAAACAAATCTTTCAAAGGGTAGAAGTTTAGCAAATACTTCAGTTTGTATTGTTACAAAATATCTTTTGTGCATTTTGAAGGTTGATTCCAATGGAAGTGCTTACACTATAAAATCAAAAAGTCAAATCATAGAGCAGTAGAGAAGCACAATAGCACACGAAAAACAAATTAAGAAGCATTGAATCATAAACAACCACACCTCTACAACTTCATCATTCTCTGATGCACAAGTTGGAACTTGGTCACCTTTATGTATTATTATTCGGGCACCAGTCATCTTTCTCATTTCTGCAATTATTGAACCTCCTATTCCCAACAAGCAGCCAGCTTGATTCGCTGGCACTACAAGCCGGGCTGAAATAAATGACCCTTTTGGGCCAAAAGTCGACACCTTTTCAGAGTCGATGCCAGCAAGTCTGTTGAAAACAAGAATAACTCCATGCCGTGCCGGGGATTGATGTGATTCTAAATTCTGATATGTATAAAGAAAAGTGATTAGCGTAACGTGATATAGACATACAAGAATTCAAAGGATCAGATAATAATGTGATTTATAGAAAAACCTCAAAAGCTGAAATGGTTATCAAGCGCTCAAAACACCCTCCTATGACTGGCCCAACTCTAATAGTTGCACCCGTTTCAACTTCAAGAGACTTGACAATGGATCCTCCCTTTCCAATTATATACCCCACCTTATCGCCGAGACAGAGAATCTTAAAAGTGATCTCTTGCTTTGACACAAGATTCGAAGAACTATCGGATCTAGGTGAGAAAAAATTACCACCTGTGCGAGGTGAGATATTTACTGGAATTGAGCTGTTTTGTTCAGTTGAATTAACTTGCAATGATTCTTGAGAAACATCAGGAACTTTGTTGTCACCAAATGTTGTTCTCTCAGGTGGCATACATTCTTGAAACCTGCCAGTCACAGCAATGAGTGCTTTCTTAACACCCAGAATTTCACCTTCAATCTGCAACACGATGATGACTTCAACAACAACAACAACAACAACAACAAACCGGTAAAATCCCATAATGTTGAGGGTGTATGTATGGCTGAAAGCAGGCCTAACCCCTACTGGGAAGAAGAGAGCCTGTTTCCATAAGACCCTCGGCTCAACACAGTAGCACAGGCAAAGTACACACTGACACAAGCTACAAGCTATAGACTAAAGTAAAAACACAGTGATGGCTTCTTTAATTACAAAAAAAAGTTAACATTTTCCCATCTTAATTTCTTGAAGAAAAAAAGAACCTTTTTTTCTTGTCAAAAACTACTCCTGAACCCAATACACATCAGAAATATACACACACTTCCCAACTTGATCGCAGCGGCAGTTAATTTTCCAAGCATAAACGATAATATTACTGCAAGAAACACCAGGCTGACTAATTTATTCATACAAGGTCTCATGTATATCAACTATGGTGCACATACTGGTCTGCAATTACTCATAACAATAGACTTCATCAAGATTAAACTGTAAGAAGCATTCGCCAAATTCCAAATCTATCCAGAAAACAAGAAAGTAATTACTTAAGTTTTCTATACAAAAAAAGAAACTTTCTTACTTCCACCACTTTGTCACCAGGATAAGTGCAAGATGGGAGATTTTCCATTGTTAAGACCTTAATTCTGCACCCTGTCTCCTTCCTGATCGCATCGACAATTGTTCCACCTTTCCCAATCACAGACCCTACCTGATTTCCCTTTGCAATAAGCCTACATGAAACCAAAGTTCCATTTCCCAGTACCATCCCTCCGGTCTCTGCAGTTACTTCAAGCACTCTCTCGAAAACCCTAACCACGGCTTCCTGCGCAGCCGAGGCTTCAAACTCCGCTTCAATTCCGGCGTTGTCTTCGCCGTCGTCTATGGGGGCGGAAAACTTGATTTTTCTGTTCACCGCTGCGGAAGCTATGACGACAATGACCCGGTTCTCAGAGTTGCAGCCGGGGTCCTCTACTCGAATCCGGGCAGAGGTTTCCTGCTGAAGCTGCTTGACGATGACGCCGGACTTGCCAATGACGCCGCCGACCCGGGATGAATGGCAGAGGAAGCGGAAGGCGACATTTCCGGTCGGCGCATAGGAAGAGCGGTTCGGCGGCGGCCTGTAGTTGTTATTATAGGCGCCGCCGAAATGATGGGATTCTTGCATTTTGAATGTGGCGGCGGCGGCGAGGACCTCCCTAGCCCTCGGTCAAAATGGGTTTATGTGTGGGGATAGAGAAGGGAGAGGAGTCCCAGAATACGTACGAGGAAGGATGTAAATGCAGCTGAAATTGCGGAGCGGTTTGCCGGTTGTGCGGGTTAACCCGTCTGCCCCTGGGGCGAGAACATGCACGGAGGACTTTACCATGGACTAGTGGAGGACTTCTGACCGTAATAAATTGGAGTATTTTTATTATTTTTTTTGAAAAAATAAATTGGACAAACCTAAGATCCCCCTAACTTTAATTTTTTTCTATCAGAATGTTGCGGAGTTAGCAAAAGTAGGCCCTCGTGGCACCAATCTGCAATTAAAATTTAATTTATTTTATATCAGTGATCATCGGTATAGATTGTTAACGATATTTAGATAAAGATGATTAAATATTACTTTCAACATTTGATTAGTGGTTATACAGTATCTTCTCAATCCCTTGCATTTAGATTTTGACTCAATCTCTTCCACTAGTATAAGCTCCACTCTCCTTGTTCGTAGGCTTTATTAGTTAGCCATGTACTTGTATAAATATCTCTCTCATATGAATAGAATTATCATCCCAGCTATTCATACCTATTCCCTATCTTTATGATATCAGAACATTTACTTTAAACAGATTTTTTCCTCCCGTGGGTATACGCCTCTGTGCGTCTCCCATCTCCAACAATTGTTGATGACTATTTCCGGCTCTAGCTACGTGGACTCTGGTTCGTCATCTTTGTCGGGCCTCATCCACATGTCTGCCTCAAAGCATTCCCCATCAAATTAACCAAGACCAACTACCTTGTGTGGCGCTGTCAGTTTCAGACCACTCTCGTTGGTCTCGATCTTATTGGCTATGTCGATGGTTTGCTTAAAGCTCCATCTCCCTTTCTGGACACTGCTCACAAGCAGCGCAACCCTGCCTATACCCTGTGGTATCGTCAGGATGTCATTCTTCTCACTGTTATCCTTAGTAGTTGCACAGATGTCGTTCAACCACAGATCCCTCTCGCTGATACTTTAGCAGATGCTTGGTCTCGGCTGACCAAAAACCCTGCTAACATGTCTTGCGTGCGTATTATTTCTCTCAAATCCCAATTGGCGAAAAATCATCGCGGGAACCGTACCATTGATGCCTTTGTTGCGGACATGACAACAATTGCATCCAATCTTGCCTTGGCCGTTAGCCTCATGACAGATGAGGATCTTTCAGTTCACATCATGTCTCGAATTGGAAAGGATTACTCTACCCTCTATCAGTCGTGGTGGGGTGTAATGCTGATTTCTCTATCGATGAGCTTACCACTATTTTAAAGGAGTGTGAGCATGAAATTCTCAATCCCTCCACGGCCATGTCCGATCTTGAACCTATGGAAAATCATGCACAACGCATGTGTGGTGCCAATCGTGGAGGTGCTTTTGGTCGTAGTGGCCGTGGGGTATGCGTCGACGAGGTACTACCAACCCTACTCCCGATGAACGCTACTAGGTTTTACTGCTTATGTTGTTTACCTTGGATCTAATTTGGTCTCTTGGAAATCTACTCGATAGAAGACTGTTTCTTGTTCATCCACTGAGGCTGAGTATAAGGCCTTTGCTCATAGCACTGTTGAAACTCTATGGCTCTAAAGTTTGCTACGTGAGCTTGGTGTGAATATTTCTCTTGCGCCGGTCCTCTATTGCGATAAGCTTGAGTCCACTTATGTGTGCAAGAATCATGTTTTCCATTCACGTATGAAGCATCTAGGTCTTGATTACTTTTTTGTCCGTGATCTTGTTGCTTCTAATCGGTTACAGGTCCGTCACATTCCTACATCTGAGCAACCGGCAGACCTTCTCTTGAATTGGTGTATCCGACAGATCTTCCATCTTGCGAGGGTGTGTTAAGGATATTTAAATAAGGATGATTTAATATTATTTTCAAGATTTGAATAGTTGTTACGCAATGTGTATCTCTATCCCTTGTATTTAACTTTTGACTCAATCTCTTCAACTTGTATTGGCTCTAATCTCCTTCTACGTAGATTTTATTAGTTAGCCATGCACCTGCATAAATATCTCCCCCATATGAATAGAATTATCATCTCAGTTATTCATAACCATTTCGTATGAGGAGACCTTCGGGGATGTGGTTCATCCTTTTTTTCAAACTATTTTCTCATTCTTTTTTTGAAAAACTTTTCTCATTTTTGTTATTGGGATTGCATGTCATCATTGTGCTAACCCCCACATTTATATATATTGGCAAATTCTTATATATTAAAAAATTGAGCTATTTGCAAACATAGAAAAGATCTCTATATTCGTCCACTAAAAGCGTAAAAAGCCTACATTTAAATGTAGACTTTACAATCACAAAAAAAACACAACTCTGAGGGCACTGGAAATACGTTTGAAGCCCCGGGGCTTCAAACTTTCTCTCTCTACCACGTCAGCTTTAACTTACACCCAAAATTCACTGGAAATGAGTTTGAAGCCCCGGGGCTTCAAACCGGGGCTTCAAACCTTCATTTTTTACATTTTTAAATATACATCTTCTAAAATTAAATTAATAAAATGCAATTAATTTATTGGGTGAACCAAGGAATTCCGCGTTCAACATCGGCGAGTATGCGTAAAAAAAGAGGACGACTCATCCGAAAACGATTACTAAAATCCTCCGGTGTATAAACACATGGATTATTAAAGTAGTCGTTTAGAAGTGAAGCGTGGGCGGCCGCTCGATCCCAGTTTAAACGTTGTCGTCAGGTCCGTCGTCGGGAGGATTTGACTTCTTCTTCTTGGCCTTCTTCCCACCATTGAATACAACTCGTGGCAAAACAACGAAAAAAGAGAACTCTTTTTTCATCGTCGGATGAAGATGATCCCATTTTTAAAATATATTTTATAAATATTTATAATAAATAATAAATATTTTAGAGAGAAGATAGTGAGAAATGTGTGAGAGAAATGTGTTAGAGATAGGGGGATTTTATAGGTTTTTTTTAAATTTAGAATTTTTTTAATTGGGGGGGGGGGGTTACGGCTATGTAGCCGTTTGAAAAGGGGGGGTAACGGCAAATTTTCGGAAGCAACGCCGCGTCAAACGAATGACGCAGGTGCCATAACGCCCCGGTAACGCCGCAGGGGGGCGGTGTTTAACGCCCCCGGGCGTGAAAAGCGGCATAACGCCGGTGGGCGTGAAGGGTATACCGAGTGCTCTAATACTCGCTCCGTCCCAAATTATTTACAACATTTCGAACGACGTGCAAAATATTATCTCTTTTAAAATCATTATATTTTTCGAATTGGTAGAGTAATAAAAAATAAAAATTACACCATTCAAAAGTATATGAAACGTTTTACAAAACAAGATGTGATAAGAATGACCAACCAAAACGAGTAAACAAACAAAAGTTATCGAGATGCCAAAATAGTAACCGTGACATTCTTTCTGTGACGGAGGAAGTATATTTGATGAAGACAGGGCTATGGCCTGTAACAAGAATCTAGATTTAAAGAATTAGGGGCTGTTTAGCAACTTCTGAATAGGTAAGTGCTGAACCAGTAAGAGGTCTAAGAGGTCCGAATCATTAAGAGCTAGTATATTGCTTAACAATTCAGAGGCAAATGTCTGATCAATTCAGATAAAAGGTCTTAACCATTCAGACTCTGTATAATACTTAACTATTCAGATGCAAATCTCTTAACCATTCAGACATCTGAACCATTAAGCGGCTGAAACAAACAGTCTGAACCATTAAGTGCTGAACCATTGAGACATAAGGAAACCCCCTAAATAAGAGTAAAACATGTATCATATCCTCAAAATAGGAGCTTAAACTTAAACTCCTCTAAATAGGAGTAATTAATCATATTTTGTTTCAATTATTTCTAACCACATAAAGTTGCCCCATAGCCTCCCCCTTTCTCTCTCTCCCTCTTTCTTCGCACAATCACATTGCCGTTCTTTCCCCTGTCGCCGTCGCCGGCAACCTTCACCGGCGTTGCTCTAGCTTTTACAGTGCCGCCCAACCTCCTTCTCTCTCTTTTCCATTCCCTCGCATAGCCCTGCGTCCCCACACCCCATCCGCCCAGATCTAAAGTGTGATCCACCATGCCCCTAGAGACAAATTTTATTATGCAAAGCTTGAACACCGTGGCTAAGTTTATTTTGCTTTTATTTTAGCCAACTTTTTTCACTGACGTTGTGATAGAGAGTGTTTCTTCTCATTATGTTTTCTTTTTTACATTATATAGTTTCTTATTTGTTTTTATGTAGTGCAAAATTTTGCATTATTGGTTGTCATAATTGCCATTGCAGTTTTTTATATGATACAGTGTCATGTTTATCTTTATACAGCATGAAATTTTGCAGTATAAATTGTCTTCATTGGCGTTAAAGCATTTATTGTCATAATTGACATTGAATCTTGGATTGAATGTAAATAGGAGCTAAATTATTAAAATGGAGTAAGACACCACCTACTCCCCATTCCCAAACTCTTTCTCGATCCTACGAATTGCTTCATTCGCTCCACCTTGGTCCATTTCTGCCGCCCATCCCAATCCCACTATGTTACTCCCTCTGTCCACCTAAGTTCTTCTCGTTACGCGTTACGAGACTTGACCGACTTTATTTTCAATTCAATTTAATTGATTATAGGAGTAAAATTTTAAAATAAAATTTATACAGTAATAAACTACATGAAAAGTTCTACAAAACTAGAGGTGACAAGACTATACTCCCTCCGTCCCACTCTCTTTGTCCACTTACCTTTTGACACACCATCCAATGCACTTCTTTAATCCATTTTATCGTGTAATTTGTATATTAAGATCACACATGACTATATTTAGGTTTACACATTGAGAGAATTTGAAGGGTCAAAGTACTTAGATAAATAGTTCCAAAAGTCAAAAGTGGACAAATATAGTGGGACGAAGGTAGTATTATTTTACGAAATAACTAGTTAAAATGAGCAAACAAAGTGAGTAAAGTTTGACCCTGTGAATAGTGTCTGGGAAGATCTATGGTGGACAGAGGGAGTAGAATCGTCACAACCGCCGTTGTCACCTAATTGCAACACCATCACCATCATCATGTACCCCCACCCATCTCAAACTAGTCATAGATCTCTCTTCTGCCGCTCACCCCCTTCCTTTTTGATTTCAACTGCCACCAAATCAGAATGCCATAACCGCCCACGCCGTCTCACCTCCATCTTGCTCCCTCAAAGCGTGATTTTAAAAGTAAGTGAGTTCTCTTTCGATCTTTAATTAAATTTTATTTTCTTTGAATTTTGTCATCGGTAGTCATGTAGGGCACTGGATTTGGTTTGACAGTATGCGTTTGTGTGACACTATGATCAGGTTCACATTGTGGCATTACATATGAGCATTTGTGGCATTATAGATGTGTATATGTGGCATTATATATTGTCATGTGTCATTATGTGGTGTTATATTTGGCATTATGTCTTTTTTTGACACTATATTAATAGTTAATGTGACACCCCGATGAAGAAAGTGGAGATTGTGATGGTAGTGTCAAGTGACTTAGAAAAATCAATCCTTTTTGTGGAAAAAAAGCAGCTACATCCAATTTTTTTAAAGCAATTGTAAAACAAAAATAAGACATTGAAAGGGAGCCCACATTATGAGTGATGATATAAAAAGTTGGTTGGCAAGGTTGTGAAAATCATTATGACGAACTGAAACCAATATTAATGAGTCATCATGCCTTTTCAAAAGAAGATTTAAGAATTGAAATTAATCATAAAAAATCTAATCTGGAGAAAAAAAATGATTGGGGGCCTCAGTATGAAATAAAGCGTAGTGGAGTGTATAATCAATTAATCATGCGTGATCATAATTATCTAATAAAAATTATCGGAAGTCTAATTAGGAGAAAGTGTGGAAATGATTTAATTAATTATGATATATGTTTTACTGCTGACATCTTACAAAACATCCTTTGTTAAATACTCAACCGGAAAGCATTTGCAGACAAGGTGTTCGTGGAAAGGCTTCTCCCAGTACCTTCAAATCTTCAAATGTAGGTGTCCTTTCGCTTTCCGGTCTGCAAATTTACAAAAACCAACGAAGAACGATATCATTTCCCGGAGGTCTAATGGCTGGAATGGCGAGATTTAGGGTTTCTAGGATACTCGGGATACCTGCTAGCAATGTCCTAGAACAGAGGCACCATTTCTTCCTTTTGTATGACTATAGCTCCAGGACCTCCACCGGGTTTAGCTACGCCACCGCTGCTGCTAAAGCGGCGGACCCGAGCGGTCACCAGTTTTTGGTGGATTTCCTGACAAGCTCACTCAACTTCTCCAGAAATGACGCCGTCTCTGCCGCTGCAAAGGTACCCTCCTTCAAATCTCAAACAAGACCCGCATTGGTTGTGGATTATCTGAAACGGGTAGGAATGGATCCTGCCCATATCAAGAATGCGGTTTACAGGTGCCCAAAATTGCTGTTTTTGGACCCCGAGCGAACCATAAGCCCCAAAATCAAATGCCTCCAAGAATTCGGTATACCTGAGTGTGATCTTGTTAGACTTATTGTTAGAGATGGCTTGATTTTGTGTAGAGGGTTAGAGAGTCATCTCAAACCTGTCTTAAAGTTTCTCAGGGAAGCTGCGGGCAGTGATGAAAATTATTTAAAAGCATTTAGGAGATGTTCTTGGTTGCTCTCGTTTGGTAACCACACACGGATGGAGAAAAATATACTGCTGCTTCAGAACTTTGGGCTTTCAAAGAAGCAGCTCAAACGGATGATCATCACAAGACCATGTTACTTAACTACCAATACGGATTGGGTTAAAAAGATCTTAATCAGAGTAGAAAAGGAATTTGGGATTCCCAGAAACTCTCCAATGTTCCCCAGTGGAATGTTTGTGGCCACTGCACTGAGCGAGACGACTGTGGAGAAGAAATTTGAAGTCTTTAGGAGCTTTGGTTGGACCGATTTGGAAATTTCAGGCATTGTGAAAAGACAACCTCATTGTTTAACACTGTCAGAGGATAGGTTGAAGAAAGGACTGTGTTTTTTAATGAATGAACTTGGGTATGGTCCCGACTACCTGACTCTTCGCCCAAAGCTTTTAATGTCTAGTTTGGAGAAGAGGACCATCCCCAGGAGTCAAGTGCTGAAAATTCTTAAAGAAAACAACCTGAGAACATCCACACTCTCTACCACCATTTCATGGTCTAATTCGAAGTTTTCTGAGATTTATCTGATGCCATACAAGGACAAGCTACCCGGTATTCAGAAATACATTACAATTATGACAATGTAGAGCACATTGTGTTTTGTTCATTGATGCAATCTGTTTCTTTCAATATTAATAGCTTCTTATGTGTTGTTGGGATGAACAATGTTTTTGCTCATTTAAATTTGAGTTGCTGAAATGCTCTTGAAATTTGGCAAATTGGCATATATGGAGCAAATTAAAATTTTCTACAGAGTTTGCATTATGTCTTTGATATTCATGCAATCTGATCATCAGTTGGAGTTGGTCGCAACAACTCATTAATCTTGTTCTTGATTTTGGGCTTTGAAGTATCAATATCTTTTTAAATCTGATTAACCAGTTCTACTAGTCTACCATTCTACACTGTCTCTTAGATAAACTCTAATTAACTGCTAGGACCGTGACTTCACATCAGAGTCATACTAATACTAAACATCTTTGGAAGTAGTAAATCGTGAGGTGGTTATAAAGTCAATATGATAATGCGTACACATGTGACTTGTATGACTTCTAACAATGACAAAATGTCAGAAAGTCACTACATATGAGGTAAATTATTGTGGGTGGAGGCCCATCAGAAAAGCCATAAACTTTTTTCATCATCTCTGAGAAGTTGTTGCTAAGATGGTATCGAAGGCAATTGATCTTGTTAAAAATGAGATTCCCCTAGAAGAGGAATCAATGATTTTATCAGAAGCATCCAAAACAGGTTTGGTTCTGGTAGACATCATCAATGGTTTCTGCACTGTTGGAGCCGGAAACCTGGTATGGCTCCTCAAAGTCCTTTGCATTCGTTTTCTGCTAATGGCCAGTTATAGTTTACGAAGGGTTATACTCATTGTTCTTTAAATTTGCAGGCACCAAGGGAGCCCAATAGCCAGATCTCACAAATGATGGACGAATCCGAAAAGCTGGCAAGGCTGTTCTGTGACAAAGGCTGGCCTGTTCTTGCCTTTCTTGATTCACACTATCCAGACAAGCTTGAACACCCTTATCCTTCTCACTGCATATCCGGATCAGATGAATCCAATCTTGTTCCTGGTACCTTTGCCATCACAATAGAATAATACTCCAAAGATATTCCATACTTCTATGTATCATCGATTAAATGATTTTTCAAAAAAGGCTATAAACATTTTTTTTTAAAAAAAGGTATTTGCTTTTCAAGAAATATTGTTCCAATGAATTTGCAGCTCTAAGATGGCTAGAGAAAGAACCAAACGTCAGGATCAGGCACAAAGGTTGCTATGATGGCTACATCGGATCATTTGAGGAAGACGGCTCTAACGTTTTTGTTGATTGGATAAAATCCAACAAGATTCAAGTGGTAAGTGTCTTTTCTTTCTTATTACAATACCCATAGTAGAGGTAAGATCTGGGATTCAACTGGGTATGTTATTGTACTACCATACCCCTCTTTTCGTGCACACAGATCAAATTACCAAAACTGGTTGGTCCTGACACTTATTGTTATGCCATGGTGATGTAGATTGTGGTGGTTGGAGTCTGCACAGACATATGTGTGCTGGATTTTGTATGCTCAACCATATCGGCCAGAAACAGAGGCTTTCTTGACCCTTTGGAGGACATTGTCCTTTACTCAAAGGGCTGTGCGACTTTTGACTTCCCCCCTCCCATGGACACAGAGAGGAATTTGATGCCTCATCCCCAAGAGCTCATGCATCACATGGGACTTTACATGGCCAAAGAAAGAGGTGCAAAGATAGCCAAAGATGTTTCTTTCTCTCAGGTTTTTAACTAAACACCCTTTAGCAACTGACTAGAAAAATTTAAAGGGCTTTCTTGTCCCATAAAACTAGTGTGTATGCTTATAATAATTTTAATAATGTGAGTTTCACCACTTGAATAGTTGAATTCAAAACTGGATCATCTTTGCATCTTTAAACACTGTTTGTGATGTGCATTTGTAAGTCTTCATCATCTCCATTTGTTTAATCATCATTATTGAATTGAAAACCAATAGGGCATGATTTACTTATATTACAAGCTAATTAACCATCATCTAGAAATGAAATAAAAATCCTCTATTCCTCTTCTCTCCCAACACAGCCATTGCCTTACTACTTAAATTGGTTAGAGTGTTAGACATCATCTGCTAGTTTATCTTTTGGTTAGACATTGTCATCATCATCATCATCATCTGCTAGTTTTTTTTATTTAAAACTGCTAGTTATTAAGACAATGGCAACAAGGGGAGAGCTTTATGAACATGGAAAACCTCAAAATCACACCTACAATATGCACACTCTGCGCTAGTGTCTTCTTCGTCGAAATCCCACCCCCTCTTTCTAGAGCAATGATCCGCTGTGCTGCAACACACCGGTCTTTGGACGCGAACGTGTAACTTGTTCTTCCAAATCATGCGCAAGATCCTTACCAGTTCTTCACGAGCTTCCCTCACTCTCTCCTTGAGTTCTTTTGACTCCTTCATGGCACTCAACACCATGATTCCCTTTTCTCTGTGCTCACCCCCCAAGAACAGTATGGAGATCATGCAGATTGTATATGCCGCTCCCACATGTCCTTCGTTTCCCGCCTTTTTCAAACACTCCAACGCATACTCTATAGGCTCTGTGCATCCAAAAAACCCAACCTATAGGTAACATACACATATAAACAATTAGTGAAATCTCTCTCTCTCTCTCACACACACACTAAAATGTGTGGGTATGTATACATACCACTCCTGTCCTGAACAATGCTTCTGGGTTTCCAGCATTAATGCACTTGTACAAGAATAAACTTGTTTTTCTCTTCTTCTCTGCACTTTGTTGTTTCCATCCGGGGAAAATTTGGAACTTTGCAAGAGATGCATGCTTATACACGTAACTTTCATCTCCCAATTGACACCATTCTTGGCAGCTGTACACACACACACATGCAAAATATAATTATTATTTTTTAAAAAACATACTACAAAAACGATTTGATTTATTACATTTATCTTGTAAAATATTTTCAAGAATATTTTATTTTATTACGGAGTAACATGCAATTATTTTATCAAAAATACACTGATAATTGGAGTTTTCTTTTAAAGGCTTATAGGTTTTAGAACAAGGAACCTCTGGAATTAAGAGAGAATTGTTTTGTTAAACCTGTATCAAACTCCCCAGTCTCAAATAACTTGGCCAATGGTTTGATTATATAATGTAAATGTAATATTTAAACATTCTTTACAACAAAGATAAACAGTTCATGAAATTGGATGTCATGATAAAAAAAACATGTACCTCAGTTTTGCATTGACAAAATCGTCGAGGGAACGGCACGCGACCCTTGCAAGAACTTCAACGATCAAGTCGCGGGGAAGGAGAGGAATGGATGATTTGTGAATTCCGGTGGCGGCCGTCCCCCTCCTCCCCCTCCTCTGGGTACTCTTTCTTTTTCCGGCAGCCATTAGCGGCGGAGAATCACAGAGTTAATTGATACCATATATGGACATATATATATATGTGTGTGTGTGTGTGTTTCTGTGTGTGCTATTTATTACAAGGAGTAATTTGCGTTTCAGGCTTCGACCAGGAAAAGGAGAAAGAGAATTAGAAAACCAAATATATCTGGAAAACTCTGTGTTTTAGGAAACATTCATATTGTTCTCTAGAAGTTTTTACCTATATACCCGCTTCTTTCTTTCTTTCTTTCTTATCTATTTACTTATTTATTTATTTATTTATTTATTTATTGAAATGAATTACTCCGTATAATCATTCTACAATCTCCATCAACGGAATTTTAAAGATAAGCTATTATATTTGATACGTCTCACAGTCCCACTATATTTAATGATGTTTGACTAATGTTATTTATATTTTTGGCATTCGGTTGCACCCAGTATTTAAAACTACATTAAAAACTCAGAAAGTTAAAGGTGACCTGATTATGTTATTTTATGTATAAAATAGAAAGAAGATTTAAAACGTGCTTTAACTTTCAACAATTTCCAATACATTCTAGTTTTTTTGCCTTCTTTGGACCTGTTTGGAAATAGCGTTAGTATTTTGAATAAAATTTCAACGGTGCAGATTACTTTAAAAAAAGTTAACGCTAAAAGCTGCTCGTTGATAGCCTTTTCAAAATGTCACCGCTTATCTCTAACGTTATTCCCAAACAGGCCATTTCTTGTTCTATTTAAATCTTTCAAATTGCTTTCCTCTTTTTTTCAGTCTTCTAAAAAAAATTCCAGACTTAAAATCATTTAACCATAATTTTCAAATTATTCTTATTTCCATTATGATGATGATCATTATTATTATTACCCTGAGTATCATTATGAGTATCATGAAAAAGTGAACGATTGGTTTTTGGATTTGGTGTTTTGCAGTTCGATCCTCTGTTTTTTGGGTTATTGGTTTTGAAAAAAAAAAATTGAAAAGTATATCACACTCATCCTATTAAAAAATGAGTAAATTAAGAAAGTTCATAGAGTATATATACTTGCTCACATTTAAAACAATCAATGTAACCTCATAATTATTTATTTTTTGGCACAATTGAATTGATTTCGATTTTCAGTTTTTGACTTTCCCAACCCACCCATAACCATGAACGGTAATAAACTAGTAGAAAAATTCTAGTGTCACCATTTATAGAATAAAAATTTCATTTGTCCAAAAAAATTAATTACCATTATAGAGCCGGTTTAAAATATTAAAACTTTGAATTGGTTACGTATATATTATATATTTCCTTTATAATATTGTAATATTTTATATAATCTATTTACATTTAGAATTTATTATTTTTATAATAATGTACAATATGTTGTCATTGGACGAGATTGTCTTAATAAATCAAGAAGGTAAAAAAATGTTGCAATGAAATTAACATGCTCAAGTACACTACTTTTATGATGTGCATGTACAAAGTGTGTAGAAAAAAAATGTGTGAAAAAACCACTATGTACCTTGTAAATAATATGATGAATAAACAATTGTTATAATTGAGGACCTCTCAAACACTTACAACACTATGTTTGCTTTAAAGAATTTGGAAGGAAAAGAAAAGAAAACTGTTTTCCCTCATTTTTCCCACTAAAATGAGAGGAATTTGGTTTTGCATTCGTAGTACATTTTTCCTTCTAATTTTCTTTTTCTTCTACTTTTCTTTTCCTTTCTCTAACCAAACAATAAAAATATTTTCCTTCTCATTTTCTTTTCTTTTTTCTCTCAAATTTCTTGAACCAATGTGTTAATTCTATTTCATCCAAACTTGGTTTTCTTACACATTCATTTGTGTGAATTTTTATTTTTCATAATTTAGTGATTTAATTATTATTTTTGAATATAAATAATATTTTTTCTTTTCTGAGTTAATTTTGTAAGACACAACCAGCTTGCAATAATTTTAGTGTATAAATTGCGGTGTTAATTTATTTTTATT